AATATACATTTTTCTTCTCACTATTAATGATTAAGATAATGATGCAAACAACGCCAAAGCATACTGGATTAAAGGGCCCAAGGTGAGGCTTATAAAGTCCACCCCAGACCCTCACCTCAACAAAATGTGCTTAGTTAAAAAATAAGCTTAAAAGCTTCACACTCCACCGCGATGACAGTTTGTTGACAGTAGATCCTTTTTTAGACAATACAACCTTGATAGAACAGCTTTTAAGGATAATGAAAAATGGGGGCAATCCTATTGAATTTTGTTCTTGCTTGTTGCGGTATTATCAGTATCAAAATAAGAGCACATTTTAATTTTCCCTCTTTATAATATTTTGAGAGTAGGTAAATTGTCACTCTTATTTTTATGGTTTAAAAAATATTGTCTTCTTACAGTACTATTGAATGACAAACGTGGTTAACTATTGTATATGACATCATAAATCATACCAAATATTCATGAAATCAAATCAAAGATATCACAGAATATAACTCTTAGATATAGACATTTAAAGATATATATTTTCTTGTTCATTGCACGACTTTGTGACTGCCATATTATTTGTCATATGCAATAAGTGTTAATTTATGTCTACGCTATCGCATTATATTGCAAATAAATAAATAAATACTCGTAAAAATGGGCTGTTCGCATATTCATCCTATGACGTCTCATCTTACGCATTATTTTTTCCTTACTCAACATCCCGAAACAATTTAATTCATTTTTAATTTAATTTAATTATTGACTAGTATTTCCGAAGCAATTGACTTTTATCATAATTGCGATGCACTAATCGAAAGGCAATTATCTTCCCTGCCTTCTATTTCCACTTTATTGCATACTGTGTTGCTAGCTGCAGTTAACTCAAAACAACAGTAAAATATTTAAAGTGTTCTTATAATATGTACTATGAAAGGAAAAAAAATATTCAGTTAATAAGCTAATACTGCAACTGAAAAGAAAAATATTAATTAATGTATATGACCTACTTAAAACATAGAAAAAAATATCAACAAACTTCCAGAACATTTTTGTACTCAATGCAACTAGGTCAGGGTCCACGTTTAAAATCAGGTCATGCAAAATCATAGGTACGTTGTTTGTGAAACGTAGAAAAAATGGATCGAAAAGGAAATTGAATCAGTTTTTATAGAAAAAAAGCTATAAAGTAAAAGCATCTTTTTTTTTAGTATAAGTTAAAGTTTTGAGCGAAGTAGTTTGAATGTTTCTAATAGCTAAAATATTTTATGGAAGAGGATGGCTGTCTACCCGTTATTAACCTTAAAAACGTATATCAATCAATACCGGCATAGATACAACTTTGTACATATAAACATTGGTGACGTGATGCTTAAAATTATTCAAGCGCGGTAAAATTTTGATATATTTTTTCATTTTATTCTTGTTATTTCTTAAAAATATTTATTTAATTTCACAATAGGGCTTAAGTTAATTTTTAAGCTCCAGTGTTTAATATTAATAAGACTTTTATCTTGTCTTTGTTATAATCAGAAAACACATAGGTTCAAAATACCTAAAGTGAGTGAGAAAGTAAAATTGATCAAAATTACTATAACTATTATAACAAATTTTCATCGTAAAAAAACAAATTATAAAATATTTGTAGAAAATATTTCTTTCGGCTGTTTGGATTGTGATAACTACTAGAGCGAGGACCTTATAATGAAATGCTAAATAAAATGAATTAAATAATATTATATTACTACATAAGTTTACAAGTTTATAAGTCGGTTACGGAACAATAATTTTAAGCTACTAATCACAAAATCAAAGAATATTTATTTATTTATTTAGGTTTGCCAACATTTGTTTACAATATTCCTTTCTTAATTATTTACTAATTTCACCATTATTATCTAATTGTCACAAATTCTTGAAAGTAAACACAACATGCACCAATATGCACAACAACGACTCTACGACTTAAAAAAAAAAACAATAAACATCAAACACAACTACGACTTAAAAAAAAAAAACAAAAAACATCAAAGTTTACCCCATTGTGTTTGAGTTTGAGTAATGTAGTATAAATGCTTCAGAGGCCATTCCACTTATCTAAGATCTTTTTACGGATCCTGATGGGCGAGTCGAAATGAATATCTATGATATTACTGAATTCATTCACTATCTTACAAAATCTTGCAACCGGTGAATTAGACCCGAAAACAGTCTTACGGAACGGTGCACTTAGAGGCGTTATTGATTTTCGAGGATATACTAAAAGTCAAAAAACTATATAAAAGGAACATGTCATAAAAACTTCTTAAATATGTACACTATGCCAACTGCCAGCTAGTTTCTAACAGATTGATTGCCTGAACATTGATGTAAATACCTTCACTAGTAGTAAGAAGTTTTTTGAAAAATTCACCAGTTCTGTTAGATTTTGGGTAGCTCAGTGGTTAGAGCAGTAGCCCGCATTACGAAAGGTTGTGAGTTAGAGTCCCATCTCAGAGTACCTGAGGCTGGTGTGGATTTTTTAAACAAATTTTCATTAAAAATATGTTCCAGTGTAGCATTGTGAATACAAAATTTATCAAAATATATCAATAAGAATATCAAATTCAAATTGTGAACAAAAAAAGTTCAAATAAAATCTAGATATTTAAAAATGAAAAACACATATACAAGTGTAAAGTTAGACCAAACGATAATAATATGCGAGCTACTTTATATTTGTTGCCGAAATCTGGTATTTAACGATATAACAAAAAACTTTATTTAATATTATTATATCATATAGAGGTAAGAATTTATTGCATGTTTATTTGCATTTAATAGGCTCCGTAAGTACTGGACTGTTTTAGAAAGTCCCCAACTAAGCTATAATTTACACGGGCAAAGTCGCAAGCGTTTTACATTTGAATCTACAAAACGAAACCTAAACGAGTTAATAATATCAGTAATTTGCTTTTTTTTATTAATAGGGCCTCGCGCGGCCGTCCCCTTAGCAATTGACCAACATTTTAATCGAGCCGAAACCTTTTAATCCCGTTACATCCCATCTTTAGGGGTAAACAACGAAATAATGGGGAGTAGCCGAGGGAACTGGGTCGGGTCGGAATGTTTTGAGACAACATCATTTTTAGAAGCACCTAATTACAGCTCTTATATATCTTTGTTAACTCAGAGAAAGATAAAATCTAACCTTTTCAAAGACTATAAGTTCAAGAATTACAGATAATTTTCGAACAGGTTTGAAAATAACAATTTATACGAAATACTTAATAAATAACAAGAAAGTGGATGGTATAGGAGCGTCAGTGCCAGTTGAAAGTTGAATTAAAGGAAAGAAATGCTAGAAAAATCAATTATTAAGCTATGAGAGGAATAAAAATAAGAACAAGCATGAATAAGAAAATCAGAATAGTAACGGCCTACCGATGGGTGGGGTATAGTAGTATATAAATAAATTAATCGGTTCAGTTATTTTAAGTTTGAGGCCTGAAACCGGTTTCGACAACTCTATTGAGGCGCTTCTACATCTTTAATTAGTTATACCCAATTAACATTTCTCGACATTTGAACCGCATAATTCGGCCTTTATGCAAGAGTAGTTCAAAATTTGTCGAGTCTCAAAAAATATATCTAAAAAATAATACACTATGATTTTCAAATGCCGTCAAAATTTTTGTCTATTTCAACTTTATTAGACGTCAGGTGGTTAAAAAGTACGGTCAGCTGTTGGCCCGAATTCAAAAGAAGTTTCTTCTTTGTGGTTGTAAAAGATTTTTTTAAGTTGTAAAACAAACACCAACTTGAGTTGTCTCAGATAATTTAACATAGCGGGAATATTACTTTAACTGGAATAAATAATTTAAATTATTATTATTCCAGTTAAACCTTCGCTATAAGTTGCTATACCTAAATAATCCTGAGTCCAAGCAAAATATGTTGACTAGATTGGAGAGTTCAAAGAACTTCAAATGCCATTCCCCACTAATACCACCAGTCTTACAAATGCCAAGTTTATGATCAAATCCCGCTTCTCATAGAGACAGAAACGGTCTCGAGCGGTCGAGTTTATTTCCCAATAAAACCATATTCCATCTCATAAACATTGATCCGCCCAAGAGATATCTAAATGGCCCCAAAGAACGAAGAGGTTATATATTTTTAGACGTCTTTCATACTGTATGGGTATCCGAACATACCCCAAATCATTTACGAAGTGCTTTTGTGATACACACAGCCTGCCTACAGGGAATAACCGAGTACTTTCTTTATTCACTTCAAGGCTGTTATGTTATGACTGCGCAGTATCGGACCATCGGCCCAGTATCGGTACCATACAAAAACATTATTAAATCAAGGATCAAAACAACTACCTAGTAAAGCCAATAGATAAAGCGTTCCGAAACTGTTTGTTTTAGTCATCATACATTGTTTGAATCATTAAGAGGCCGATTAAAACAAACCAGTAATCGAATAGATTAAGTATAAAAATATTATGCAAATTAATTGTAATGATTTAAAACAGACGCAAAAAATCACAAAAAATATAATGTTCAATTTAAACACGTTAAAGTCAGAAATGGATTGGATATTAAAGTCAAAAATGTGTAAATTTTGTATAATGTGCTGTTGATTATACAAGATGCGAGACCTATACGATTACTTTCTAGCGTGAAATTATGATTACTTTCTAGCGTCAACCCGTGTAACTATATTTTTTAAGTTTATAACTTTGTTCAAAAGGGGTAATCTTTAGTAATACTGATCTAACTATGAAAATTCATTCACCTACCGGAAGCTATATCTTAGGCGGGTGATACAGGCTATAATGTACGCGGGTGAAATAGCTATTATTACATATTTCTAAATGTCGTGCAATCTCCTTGCAACTACAGCTTTGTACTTCAAGTTTTACAACTTCAATAGAGCCGAAACAACAAAAGATCTCTCCAAAAGGTTTGCACTTTAGAAAATTAATCGCCGCCTTTGGTAAGCCTCACACAACAGTGCACACAATGCAGTCTTCGGGGCATAACAATATTGGAAGCGTTGACGTCAACTATAACAAAATATACTACATACTGGACCGGAAGGAAGCAATTCAATCAATTAGTACATTATTCCTACAAGACTTAGGCCTACTTACACTCCTTATCGACTCATTTTATATTTTCTAAACGAAACTACAATACAGGGGAGATATAAAAAAACATAACGAATTATTTGGAACAAACTTACATATATATTTATAACTGTAAATGTCGCCAATAACCTTACCATCTTCTTAGAATAATTTATTACATTATTACTGGCTTCTAAATTAAACATTCTTGTCACTTCTATTGCGTTATAAGATTGTAAGTATGTTTGTACAGAAAATAAATCATTTATATGGTATATAGAGCATGCGTTAATTAACATATTTGTTTAATTAACAAACAATATAATATCCATAAAACAATTTTCAAATACAACACAACTCTATTGAAAAGTATTTAATAAAACGTAAGTAAAAATGAACAAAGGGAACGGATTCAATGAAAACGGCGAGATAGAGTGGGAATCCGAAATAAAAACAGGATAAGCAGACGAAAAGGCCATCTAATTAAATGAAGAACAAACACGGTATTAGGGTCAACACTCGCTCGGAGACCTCTCTATTCCATTGTTGGATTATAAGGTTAGCGACACATTGAGTGAAACGAACACAATATTGTATACTCACTTTTGCACAGAAACGAGATGCTCAGAATTAAAGAGCATTTGCTGTCTTTTTTATTAATAAAAGTCAGACCTACTTGTCGATATTAAGCCGATGTTTCCTTATTGCTTAAGTACATTAATTATCAAAATTTATAAAAGGTTACAAACTACAACATATCTTCATATCTAGATCTAACATTATGAAATATGTAATCAACACAATAGGGATGATGACTAATTTTGTCTGTCTGTACGTCGTATAGGTTGTTAAAGAATATAAAACACGTACCTATTATTTTAAATTTAGTATTATCAATAAATTTACTTCATTTTCATACATTGAGTACATTTTCTAGATAGTTATGACATAGAGAACCCCCACCCTTCAGCTTTCATGTCTATGATTTAAGTCATTTCTTGTTAAATGGAAGCATAAAAATAAGTATTTAATATTTTTATATTCTAATATTTTTGTATTGCTCGTAAAGGCTAGGAAATTGTACGCTTATATTATTAATTTTTGCATATAACCCAATAATTATCTCGATATTTGATAAGACAATACTGCAGTAACTCAGAACTAAAATACTTATATCTTTATAATAAACGTAAGACACTCAACAATAAAGTTATGCGCTCACTGAGGATTTTGTCACCGTGACTTTTTGTATCCTAGCACCATCCCTGAAAATCTGTATAGTTATGTGGCCATTTAAACACGAGACAATAGGTGACTTCCAGACAAATGACAGAAACAATAAATACCGGTGACAAAAAATCATTAGTGCGCGTCTAGTCTTAGTGAGCAGTGATTCCTACATAAGTGAACCTGTTCCCTTGTTTATTCCCAAAACCCATTTTTAACTTTTTAAAAACGTCATTCACATAATAACACTCGTTAATATATTCGTAACACATTAAAAAGTATATTATTTATTTTTAATCTAGAAGTTCGTTATAGAATTTGCTCTATCAAAGATTAAGGTATGGTACAAAATAACTGACGCGACTTTAATACCTATTTTCTCTTGTTTCAGGTATGCAACAAGATCTTTGGCAACGCGTCGGCTTTAGCAAAACACAAACTAACACACAGCGATGAACGGAAATACGTATGCATTACATGTGCGAAAGCATTCAAGAGGCAAGACCACCTGTGAGTATCTACTATATATACGGCGTATAAAAATACTGGTAACATAGAACCGTAATTTAAAATTTTTATAAATGATTTTCAGCGCTCGCTCGAGTGCAGAGTGAAAATAGGTGAACATTATCTCACAATCATATTTACGTCCCAGCTGTTACTTCAATAGGGATGATGACTAATTTTTGTTTGTTTGTCCGTCAGGTACAGTGTTAAAAAATATTAAACACGTTTTTTTTTTCGTAATCATAAAATTACAGCGTTACATGGAGTTGAAATTTCGCATGACGTCACGTTAGGGTACGTTTTCTACTCAACTGTGACGTAGCGAGCCCCACTCCTCAACTTTAATGCCTGTTATCTAAGCTATTTCTAGTTAAATTGAAGTAAAAAAAAATGCGTATCTAATATTTTTCTGTTATCTGACTGACGGACTAAATAGAATTGCATTTTTTTTACCCAGTCATCATCCTTATTGTTGGTTAAACATATGAAATTGCCAATCGACCACAACTTTATATAAAACGCATGTCCATATTCTTAGTCCATGCGTAAGGTTTGTAAATGATTTTTCAATGTACGTTTCGCATCTACTACATACAGCAGTTATTCTTTGACACAAACCTAACACATGTTGGCGGTGCAAGGTGTCACCTTAATCGGTGCTCGCATCACATGAATATTAATGAAACATCGTAGCCATAATGCCTGTGTATTGACTAAACTGCGGTCATGTTCCCCTGACCCACTTCGCAATAATAATAGCTTCGGACAAGTAACTTGTTGTTCCTGGTTTACTGTTTAGAGGGTGATGTAATTTAAGGCACTCTGCCTATTTAGTTGTATCGTTACACAATTTCTTAATTCGTTTTAATGAGCACACAGCATTACATTTACTTACCACAAACACAACTATCCATTTGAACGCTACTTAAAAATACAATTATCAATTGACAGATTTTCATCTATTTTTATAAATCTTTATTGAAAAGTATTAAATTATACAAAAACCTACAAATTCATAAAATTAATTTTAAGCCTTAATAATACGGGTTTAAGTATGATATTGCCGTTTTATGGTAATAGACGCTTTGAATAAATATAAAACCTTGTAATGATGTTAAATTGAAACTTTTTATATATGATACCTATAAAAGACCTATAAGATTAGTTTCTTTTTTTTTTAAATTGTACATTCGATTTATGACTTTCAATTGTTATTCTCTTCAGCTTAGATGGGAGAGATGGTTACTTGGAAAATCCGTGTAATCTTTCAATACTAGTTCAGACGCAAAACTAACGCGGCAGAAACATTTGGAATGGGAGTGGTAGTTCAAAATGCCTTCACGCAGTTTGTCGAATATACGTGTGTAAAGATCGTGCCTTTTAGCGAGTCCACTTCAAAAATTGCGGCTCTAAAGCTCTAGAGATCTATTTAAATACGTTTGTTATAGAAATGGGCACATGTTAACTCATCGCAACAAAAAGCCTTACGAATGCAAGGCGGACGGATGCGGTAAGTCGTACTGCGACGCGCGCTCTCTACGACGGCACACAGAGAACCACCATCAGCCCCCTGCTGACCACAGTGAGTATTGTCTGTTTACATAACAATAAAGTAATCGATAACATGCATTATGATCGTTCACTTAAAGAAATGCAACCTCCCTGTATATAAAAATATGTCTACAATTCATCATCATCATCAGCCCTTTTACGTCCCCACTGCAGGGGCTCAGGCCTTCCTTATGAATGGTTAAGGAAGAAGGCCATGACCCTCCACGTTGGTCCAATGCAAATTGAAGGGTATTAACGACTGTAAATGCAGCCCGGACTAACGGCTTAACTTGCATTCCGAAACATGGAGTAGCTCGAGATAATAGTGACTACCATCCCGTGCAGTCACGGGATGCAAGGTCAGTACTCTTGTGAATGTTGCGTAACAACAACGATCGCGAGCTACTCATGAAAACAATTACAGCATAACTATTATGAGCACCCGTGTTCTCAAAACTAGCGGGCGTTATTAGTCGACACTACCTTACTATGCGTAGCAAAACTTGAAATTATACGTTTGACATTCATTAGGTTCAACGAGCAGCAATGGCAGCAGCATCAAAGGAAGCGGTAGTGAAGGAGACTCAGCATCAAACAGAGTCACGACCCCGACATCTCCTGCCCGCACGAACCCACTGCATACTGAGGTAATTAAACTCACGGTTTAAATCAGCCTAAGTTCGTTAATATAATTATAGTAGTAATGATATTAATATTAAATTTTTTACTTTTATTAATGAGTATAAAATCAGAACTATGTACACTTTCAAAACTCTTCTTAAGTTATAGCAGCTAATTAAGGACATCACCTCACTTAATTGCCTATAAAGTTTTTTAAGAGTCTCATTTAAGTTCACCAACTGGAATGCAGCCATTTTTAATTTCGACGCCAAGTCCTGGGTTGAACGTTGCTCATTGGATGGCTTGTGCGGACATGGCGCTAATTAATCTGCCTTTTTATTATAGTTAAGCAACAGTGCAGACGAGCCACTTACTAAAGCGATTTATGTTTTGGGTGAAACCTACATTTCCCCTTCCAATATCTATTATGTATTAAGTATATCTTTTCTTTCTCAAAATAAATTGAAATTCTTATGTGATTAATTTCATTTAACATATTTGTGGATCGTGATATCGCAGTAGTGAACTTCATCCAATCTGCTTTAAGATAAGTGACCTTTATAATAGCTTGCCTTCAAATGTGTGACTAAAACATTATAAATCAAAATACTTCCGTGATTCAGGGAACACCTTGAGCTAAAATATGATGTCTGCCATCGTTTATATCCAGTTTGCACTGGGCATGATTTATAACCCGTTCTTTCTGACCTATTTTATCCATTAGAAAAGCTGTGTTAATAAGTGAAAACATTACGACTAAGACATTTCGATAAAGACCAATAGAAAACATACTGACATAGGTAATGAAATTAATTTCAAAGTTTCCACTATTTATCTGAACTCATTCTGAGGTAAACAAAACAAAACCCTCACTATAAAATTTATCTATACTAATATTATAAAGAATAAAGATTTGATTGTTTGTTTGTTTGCATCAAATAGGTTCGGAATCTACACAACCGATTTTAAAAATTCATCCACCTACAGGTAGCTACATCATAGGGGGTTGATATAGGCTGTAATTTACTCGTGCAAAGTCGCGGGATAACAGCTCGTTAACATATACTTTTAAAAATAAGGTTATCACCAAAGAGTATTAAACATATAATCATATTCATCGTATTGCATTTATAACGAATAATAATCGTACTTTGCATCCGTGTAGTTACAGTAATATTCTTCTGGTGATTGCAATAGCTCGACTGCATTGACTCGTAGTGTGTCTGGCCTGGTGCCATCTGGCCAGTTGTGTAATATTCGGACTCACAACCGCCCTTATTGATTTGCCAATTAGTACAAATCTCCTGCTTTCATTTCACGCTACCGTTAAGGATGACTTTTTCATTCACCAACAGAATCCTGACATAAAAAGACTAACCGTGTAACACTTGGAATTAAAAAATATATTCGACTCATAAATAGAAACATGAAAGTTGGGTATGGTAAATTAAATTTATAGGTACTGTGTAGAATTGTTACAAAGAAGTAGCTGTAGGTTGTAGAACGAAATATGCAATTCTTCGGACTTTTAAATTTAGTTCCAAGGGAAAATGTTGAAAATGTAGGGAAAATGTTACATGCTATTAATAAAGAAAATTTGTCGTTATAGTAAATTTACGCTAAAATTGCAATTTTAATTTTAATCCAAGTTCATATTATACAGTGAATAAATAAAATAAGCAAAAGTAGATTTGCTTATTCTTCAAGGTGTAAATATTAACCCCGCAGAATCTCGTACTAGGTTAACCTTTGCTAAAGCTCTGTTTAACGATATGAATTTTACAGTGCAGTGTCAACGTAAATTTACTCAAACGCTAACAATGTTATTAATAACACTGTAAGATAATATCCCTATGCTGGAGCAGTTCAAAAAGAGAGATTATCAATCAACAAGAAAAGACAACGCCTATTCGAACGTGAAAAATAAAAAAAAACAAATATTAGCGGTCAAAATTAAGCATAAATAGTTCGGAGTGTAAATCTATAGTAATTTGCTCGGACGTTACAATACCTAAATAACTACTAAACCATAATCGGACATAATTTGTATAATGAATTAGCTGCTGTTCCACGACTTTGCCCGCGTAAATTATAGTGTTGTCCACCCGCGAATGATCTTTCAAAGTTTGCCCAGTCATTTTGAAACCTATTCGATGCTATCCATCAAATCTTTCCTCTTTATGATGATAATATAGACAACAAGTTACCAGAACTATCCCCTAAAACTAAGGGTTCATCGGAGTGGTTTTAGTGGGTATGCTAACCGCATTTTGACTAGCCTTCTAACGAAAATTCCACAAAGCCCCCTACCGTCAAACAGCAGGGATAGTACATTATGAATTATCTCAACTACAAAAAAAACATTTCAATGGGTTCACATGCCTTCCGGACAACAAAAAATCTTATTTTCGTAAATAACCCATCAAACTCAAAAGTTAAGTAAATAAACCTCAACATTGCAGATCGAACGCACTAACCACTATGCAATCACATTCCTCTCTATCATAAATACTCGCAATCATTAAAACAAAAATATTTTTTTTCATTCGCCATAGTTTACCGTAAAACAAACTGAGCGCGACTATTGAGTTTTCTGATCAGACTAACAATACCCAGAGAAATCACAATTGAAAACATCTACAAGTTAAAGTTTATTGAAAAGCGTACTGACGAAAGTTTCCTCTCAATCCGGCACTGTTCTGCGTAGCCACGCCATTCGAATCACCAGGGAATCATTCGGACTTGGAAAACTTTTCAAAAATGAAACGTGCGAGTAAAGTTTTTGTCAATAAAAATCGACGTAATAAAGTATTTGTGTTCAAGAGCTTTGCTGAAGATCCTATGTTTTCGGCCAAGTGATTAGTAACTTACATTGCAAGATTTAACTTGTTGTGTGTTCATCAAATCGTAAAGTGAATTATAAACGTGTACTATACTGAATTATCTGAATATTTGCAGTTATCACATCGTTTTAAATCTAATACGACGGACGGTCCAAAATAGCGGCCCAGTTATTTTTTGCACTGTAATGTTATATATTAATAATCATTTAGTCTCTCTACACCAAATCATGTACTTACATATGAGTCTTAAGATTCTTAATACATTTTGTACCTTTATAATGATATTGGTATCGAATGTAAAACGCTTAAGAAGAAAAATACAATAATAAATTAAATTGACTTCATTCTAAATCCAATTTAGTGGACCCAAGAAGATAAACTAGTTCACTTTAAGCATATTTGTGTATTATCAAACAAAAGGCCTTGCAGAGAACATTTTAATTGAATAAATATAAAAGTTGTGAATGAATGTTTTTAGAAAGATACAAAAAAGTTTTGCAACCAACCAACCTAAGTCTAACACGGGAAAAAATAAAAAATCCCGAATTTTTCCAACCGTTCTCGAGATTTACGCTTGGCAACATATTTGAGATTCATTTTTTTTTTAAATGTAGGTGAACAACCAAGGATCGAGAGATACTTCTTACTCAATTACCCCGTGACGCGCACGTCAAGAAGAACAAGGCAGGAAGGAAATTATATTTAGAACTAATCATTCAAACGCCAACTAAATAAAGCTTTTGACTGACTGAATGATGAATTGAATAATAAAAATGAATATGTGATCGCGTATACTTCTATATTTACCCTAAACGAGTTTTGAATCTGCAGACAAGATGTTATCACTACGAGTACATATTTCTTTTAACAGTTTCCTTGATAAAAACATTAAGACCTCATACTCGTATCTATTGCTTTCACTATAGCTTTGAGTTAAACAGCCGAAGCCCAGCTCAATAATATACTGAATAAATGAATGAAATATGCTTTATTTTACACCAATTGTTGCGTGCAATATAAATACTTTTTGTCTATGATTTATAATCTTCGTTATCAAATGTTTATTGTATTCTAAATGGTCTATAAACAAATTCTATAAATAAATATTTATATTACAAAATAAAGATGTCTATGTAGTAACTCAACCAGCTGTCAGTCTACTAGGTAAATAAATCAACACTAATACAGGACAAAAACAAATGGAAACGATCAATTAAAATATTCAATTGACAGCCCTATTACTAAAAACTAATTTCACTACCAGGCAACCATTACAATATCATATACATATATTTAATAAATGAATTAAATATAATAAAAAAATACAACAGCAAACATACCTTTAGCAAAGTTTTTTACTTTATTACATATATATCGTATTTAGATGTATAAAAACGTATAGATAATACTAGACGACATACAGAGTGAGTATTAGACGTTTAGAATCTCAAGCGGAATATAACATTAATTTCAAATCAGCTCGTAATTACATTTAAGTAATATTATGTATGTTGTGTGCGACGCTCGATGTTAGTTATCTATAGGTCGTTTCTTCTCTGTAGGTACTTATTTATTAAATTAAAACATAAGAGAAAATTAATTTTTACACACATTTGTAAAGTTAATTAGTTCATTTATTTTTTTTTTCTTTTTTTTTAATACTTTTTAGGTTAACGCTTGACTACGATCCCACCTGATGGTAAGTGGTGATGAAGCCTTGGGTGGTATAGCGCATTAACCTAGTAACAGCCTATTCACTCTTGATTTCAAGATAATTTTATTAGATAATATTTAGCCCTAAAGACTACGTAGAAACAATTTATTTAATATTTGTGGCTCTAACCCACGTGCGTCTTAAATTCAAGAATTTCAAGTAGACCGCCAAAACAGCAAAACTTTTTAAATCCAATTTTTTGCTACGCAAAGGAATTTGTGTTCATTCTTCATTGAACAATGTTCACAAATTCTTTATGAAAAAATAAGCAATATCTTATTAGATTTACTTACTATTTGATATTAACTTGTTGTACTGAGATAGCTTTCAAACTGCAATACAATATAAGACATTATATATCGGATATAAACGAGGTTACCGTATATTAGAATTTGTCTAGAGCTCCCAACCCGCGAGGGATCTGCCCTTTTCAGGGCGGACCGAAATGGGGGGGGGAACCGCACTGTGTATGACCTTCGGGCTGGTCCCACGCATCGCTTTCCATGCGAGGGACATCGCTAAGTTTTAGTGGGTAAACTCCTGCTTCTTGTCTGCCCCTTCGGGGATGGGGCCACAGGAGTCCACTGTAACCCGTGAAGCCCGCGCTGGGTGTAGCGGGTAAGCGTAACGCATTTCTCATTGTCAAAAAAAAAACTTTGCCCAGAGATTTTATGATTTTTAGACTTTTTTCAGGATCACGAACGGATTTAAGAAATATCAACTCATAATTGCAAGATATTTGGGAATATTCTGGTCATTTTCATGTTGGAAGTAGATATTCATATAGTTAAAAACCTTCAATTTTTCTCTTTTTGTGATAAGTACTTGGCAAACTGGTTAAATTCCGAATTGTTCAAATAAAATAATTTCTTTCTCAGTATTTTAAATTTTTTCATCAGGGAACCCCATCTTTAAGCGGCGACATGTACCGAACATGTTAAAATATTGGGAATAGGCGTACATTGCATTTCTTCACACAAACAACACACGAATGAACGGGAAATGTTTCGCTCAAGTTTTAATCAAGATCAAATACGAATACTCATAATATTTTTTTTAAACCTAACATTCAAGATTATAATTACCTATATAATAACTATAACCAGATCAGTGATGTACTCGTGGGTTCATATCCGTATCTTAGTTATTTGGATATTTAAACAATAAAAATTTAAAACCTCATATTGTACTCTGAAAACCAAATTTCTATATAACGTCAACATAGTCATTTTCATCTACTCAATGACATTAAGAATACACAAGTAATAGCAGGATTAACAATGAAACAGTTCTCCATTTCTAATGTAACCCAGTTGTTGTTAGAATAGTGTATGTAGAACTAGGCCACGTTGCTTTTGATGAAATGACATTATTTATTGGCATTATAACTCTTAAAGTTACACTCGGCAAGTCTTTCATAATTAATATTTCAAATTAAATACTAAGGTCTAAATTTTGAAAGACAAATCATTATAGCAATATCAACTAATTAAATAATTATAATCAGCCTATTAATTACACCCCTCACTAAAGATGGAATCAAGTCCAATTACAAGAATGGCTAACCCGCTCGTGTTAATGTCTGTAGTTACAGTCTAGACTTAACTAGGCTTAACGAACTTCCCGAAGCACGGAGACGCTTGAGATAACAATTTTTTGGTTACCTATAATTTTACCGGCTCTTGCGAAAGTTGCTCACCAACCTACATTTACAATTACATTATAAAAAAAACTTATTATTAGAAATTATATTATATAAGAGTGTCAAGCATGTTAGATTTATTATTTTATTAATTTCTTGATGATTCCTATAACTATTTGAACGAAGACACTCGGCATATTATTACCATATAAAATTGTCATCTACCACAAAGATCTAGTCGATTTTCTTTCTCACCCATCTATATGTAGGAATGCAAATTTCTAAACATATAGATATGAATTCATATAATGAGTAGAAGGGATCCTGAATTAAAATTATATATACGTTGAGTGTAAAATATTTATATATGATTGCAGTCGACGGCATCCAGTTCAGAGAAGTCAAGTACCTCAACGTCAGGCAGTAGTGAGACGAGTCCTCCGTGCACGCCCCCCGCGCCCCCCACACCGCCAGCGCGACCTAAACCTCGAGCGACCAGTAACAAACCAAAAACCACCACCTCAGTAAGTACTTTTATTAATTTCACTTTGAGTGTACTTATTATTAAAAATAAAATTACTTCTCACTTATTAAAAATTACAATATTTCCCCCAAACTTTTTAAGCAGTTTATTGGGTCATTATGTTAATGAATTTCCTACTGTAATCATGGAACCACAATAAATTCCAAAGAAAATAATATAGAAAAACTTTTTCGTTGAAATTACGTTGAAAGATACATTAATATTTTCAAGCACATTTTTAGTATCAATAATTAGGCACTTAATATTAGTACCGTTAATTCTAAAAATTATGAAAAAATATGTTTGTTAAGTCAGATATGGTCATAAAACAATTTTATAGCTAAGTATCGGTGATGCAGCTACGACGATTCATATTCTACGAGAATACTACACTCTCGCTACACTACACTCTACACACTCGTAGCAAAACGCCGCCTACGCAAATTCGTAGCACTGTGTAGCAGGATACTTGGCGTTACGTAAAATTTTTAGTAAAACTTAAGGTACCGTTCCCATACTGCATTCGTAAAGATACGAAAGAAAATTTATTTAAAAGATAAAGTCGGTAAAAATATACAAATATATACTATTATTTCGTAAATGTGACGAATATAGAAACCGGGGGACGCCGACCTTTTTCATATAAATTAATTACGTGTTATCGGAAAGAGATGTCCGAAGCCATAAAAACTGGCAAGCAAGATTGAAAATAGTTAGCTAAAAAAAAAAATCCTAAATAGCAAAAATTCATTTTGCAGCGCTGGCTTCTCTCAGTTTACTGCTGCAAGATATTTTGGTCGTGAGTGTAATAAGCCATGCCTGCTTCTGACCATTTTGTTGACACTATTCACTTAGCGGCGAATCGACAATGCGCAGTAATTCCATTGATAGTAACTTGAACGCTCTGTCATATCATCAAATCTGCCACGTACGTTTAGATGGTCACTCAATCATAGAAATATCAAACAAAAATAAAATAGACAATTTAAAAAAAAATGTCGCTGGTCCACTCGATGGCTTCAACAGGCAATACTTGACTCATATTCAAGTGGCCAACTGATTTTAAAACAGATAGTGTTCGAGTCACCTGAAAATAAATTTATTGATGGATATCCCGATATAGAAAACGTTAAATGGTAATTGTACCATTGTACTCATTTGGTGTACAACCTTTGATTAAATAGGTATAATTAATATTACCAAATTAACGTAAAACTATATGTTAAACTTAAACCGTCATATTATTTCAGGTTTAAACTTAAAAGCTTTATTGTTTAAATTCTCTTCCACCAAAATTATCTTATATCATCGTCAATTTGCATTTGGAAAATTTGCTAATAGTAACTTGAGTCGTCGTTATGGATGAATAGCCACCTAAGTCTCCGTATGTGTCATATCATACAATCGTTTATGTTCTGTCATCAATGGACAGGGCCGCCTGGTGGAAACAGACGGAATCCTTGACTACTAAACTTTTTGTCCCTCGTGTACATTCATACTTTTCTGCTCTATTAATATTTGATATTCTGTGTCAAGAGCGTCATACCAAAGTATGACTTTTTTTTTCATAATTCGAACCGCCTTCAAACTAAAAAAAAATACTTTAAGAAATAATATTTAACTTAAAAGCGACTTACTATTTAAGAAGCTGCTGTTGATGTCGGGCGGAGGTTTTCTATAGGTATTATTAAATAATTGAGTTGCTTTTAAAATAAGTACTATATTGTTATTTTTTTTTAATTTGATTTTAATAATTAAAATAGTATATAATAAGTATAACTATTTTTCGAAAAGCAAATATTTCATGAATTTTATTGATATTTTTATATAAGTAACAGAAAACATTTTAAATAAAAAAACATGTCAACATTCTGAAAGTCTTAGGAAAATAAATTCTAATGAAAAATTGACTAAAATACATCAGTCCCAGGTACCCCGAGGTAGGATTCGAAACTTTCATACTTATATAAAAATACTTACATATAAAAAATACCCAACTTCCTCCTTTCGAATGAATGTAAAATACGCTATCTTCTGTTTTTTCGCTGATATAAATATGTATTTGGGTGTTATTTGGTGAAAAGTATATTTTGTTTTTTTTATAAAAACTACCAATTTGGTTTCGATCAAATTTATATGGAATCACCAAGGACCCATAAGCTATCGAATACAAAAAGAATTTTGAAAATTCGCCAACAATTCGCGGAAATATTTATATGCGCACGTTTAAAAAACACATCTGTATTTATTCAAAGGAAATAACACAGAACAGTAATTATCCGCTAACCTTTGCCTAGCAAATATAAGTGGTTATTTCTTTATTTAATGTACTCCTTGGCGACCTTCACATACGTATTCATAGTTATGAATTCGTTTAGCAGTTTTATTACATTTTTGACATCAGGTCAGTTGCACAAACGTCCATTAAGTTTTAATGATGACTTTAAACTCTAATGAATGTTATAAATAGGAAAGTTGGTATCTGTGATCTTACTTTAAGCTAATAATAGACTATTGAAACTAATTATTCCAATATTAGATCCAAACAACAAAGTTGTATTTAAGAGACTGGTCCGTGAACACTATCTCATTCTTGCAAATAATCCCTTTTGTATCTAATTTATTTATGTATGCTTACGTATTGTATATTTATAGTATGTATATGTGTAGATATATGAAAATATGTTATTTTATTTTAACCATTGTTTGTTTTTCTTTGTTGCGCCTGTAGGCTTTCCATCAGACATTCGATCTGTCTGCTATTTACTGTATAAATAAAAATTAAATAAACAAATAATGTAAGATTTCATTGTTTGTTTCCATTGAATAGACACTGAAATTACTGTTCTGCTTTAAAAATTATGTCACCGTCACAATGTGGATTATATTTGCGAGAAAGAGAAACATTAATAAACTAGGCCTTGCATTATAAGCTATAGCAGTAATCTAGTTTGTCCGGTGGGGGACTCCCCTTGTTCGCACAGACAGGTGTAGTCGCGCTCCCACGTTAGTATTCGTTCATAAATGTTTTGGTAGTATATCTAAATCGCTTTATCAAAGAAAAATATATATTGTCTGTGGTGATGGATACTGAATTTTAATTTTTAGATATCTGTAGGACAAGTTGTTGAAGAAATAAAATAAAATAGTAAAAAGTGATTTACAAATAGTATTAGTTCATCTAACTCTATAAAATATACCCCTTACCAATATATGCCTTTCTAGATTAATTCTTATCGATAATCTTTAGTTTGTTATTAAACATAGATTTACATTATATTAAAAATATTTTCTTAAGACAAAACTGTATGTAGTAGGTGCCTTGTTATTTTCTTATGCATAAGATGTTATCGTGCCTCCGTTTAACAGTTTCAGTGCCTAGCGTTTTTAACCAGCCTTTAAAAATTAGATTTTTCAATGCATTTTTTATCTCACTGGTAATTCAAGACTTCAGCACAAACGTCCGCCATAGCTAAGTGACAAGTGGCCCGTGTCAAGGTATTGCTTACTCTAAAGTCTTTTATATTGTTGTGAGTCTCGGTGTTGTGATACCTTCAGATTTCCATAATAAAAGTTCTTCAACTACATAATTCGGAATCGGAATTGGATGTTTTCTAAAAGTTTATTCAAATAACTAAAATAAAACATTTCATTTTAATCGTCTAGATATTACTTTAAAAGAGTCGTGGTAAATGCCCGTATGAGTGTGCAGGTTTTTCTTTTTTTATTAATGCCGTAGAGGGCGATTTCATTCACTGACCGTTTCGCACCGATCTGCGACTATCGCCATTAGCATAATAATATCGGCGCCCTAATTCTCACGGGCTGTGGTCATTGTTTGATATCTTTACACTATTGCTGGCAGATGGGCAATATATTGCATATAATTATGGCTCTATAAATACTTTGACCATCTAATTCGTAATTAAAACCGGTCAGATTAAGAATACTGACTTTGAGGTCAAACAATTTATTGTGGACGGCAAACTCATTGTTATAATTACAATAGAGTATGTCATAACCTCAAGTCCAGTAACTTGAAGCGTAAACTGCGTGATTTTAATTAATTGGAAAAACTAAATCATGTAAAAATCTATAAATAACTTCATTGTTGAAGAAATAGAAGCTTTGAATCAAATCAGTGACAGACGGACTAACGGACAGTTTTAGGTGGAGATAGGTCCTTACTTCCAAAATCGATAATAGCAAATGTAATGTTTCTTACAGCAAAATTTTCTGTTAAATGTTTAACATGAACCAAATAAAATATTAACACTTGTATCTTGTGACTGTTACTGAAAACTAAAATGTCCAGAGACTGTACGAAATTCAAAGGATCAGCTTCATTTTCCACATCTGTATTTCTCATGCATAATATCAAATCCTCGAGCTTTAACTTGATTCTAAGAGCAAGAAAAATATTAGGTACATTTTATTTATATCTGTATTTTAATACGATGAAGACTTTATGAATTTCCGGCCGCGTTTATGTTTTCTTAGAAAGAAAAATATATAAGTTTATTTTTGCTGTTAACAGGAATTGGCACTTAATATAGTATTTTCTCCTTATAAATTGCTTTATTACGTTTATAGGTAACTCATTTTTAGGGTCAAAGAGAGAAATGGGAACCTATTCTAAGACGTTGCTGTCTGTTTGTATCTCATGAATCCTGAAAGTGAAACAGTTGAAATTTTCATAGGTTATGTATTTCTGTTGCCGCTTCCATAGCAAATACTAAAAACTAGAATAAAGTAAATATTTAAAAAGGCTCCGTGTATTTTCACGTTCACAAAAAAATACAACAAACGTGATTTTTTTGATCGTTTTCGGTACGGAACCATACGTACATATCCGACTCGCACTTGTCCGGTTTTTTATTATAGCAACTTAATATTAATTTTAAACATTGCCATCATTATATTAGTTGAAAAGAAAAAAATACATATATATGAAAAACATAACTTCTTAGAACTTTAATATTTCAAAGGCAAAATTACACACAATTTTTTCTTTTTAATATTTATTAATCAGCCTAAGCCGCTACATGAAGTTGTAGATATCGAAAAACTATAATATTCGTTGGTTTATACTTTCAACGGAACGTACTGAAATCTCAGGAGGACTAAAAGAGGTCGTCATACAACGTACAATAAAAAAAAATGTTTAGCCAGTTCCGCCACCAGTTTTCCAGATTACACTTCAAGCGACTCTATACTAATTATAAATTTAATAGGCACAGGACCGATTTTAAAAATACTTTCACCTATAGAAAACTACATCGTACGCGAGTGAAATTGACTATAATTTACGGGGACGAAGTCGCGCGTAAACAACTTGTATGTGATAAAGTTCATTCGTACAGAAAACAATGTCTTCAATCGATTTTACCCGACAGTAATTACCTTTATACTTGAATCTATTAT